GATATAACGCTCCGTCTCGTCGCTCTGGCCCCCGATGGCCACACGGCCACAGCCCAGCAGGCCCTGCAGCCTCTGGAAATGCTTCTCGTTGATGATGCGGCCCAGGTCTGGGGAGTTCCTGGGGTCCTCGCCATAGAAACGGGTGATGGCACTCTGCAGGGCAGGCAGCAGCCGCTCCTGCATTTCCGGGCTGCACAGAACGTAATCGGGGACCACGCAGGTCTGGCCCATGTTGAAGTAGCGGAACCAGACCACGCGGTTGGCCACGGTCTGGGGGTCGCAGTTGTCGTCCACGTAGCAGGGGTTCTTGCCCCCCAACTCCAGCGTGACTGGTGTCAGGTGCTTGGCGGCAGCGGACATGACAGTCTTGGCAACCCGAGTGCTCCCTGGGGACATGGGAGTTGGCCCCTCATCCTTAAGTGGCCGTGGCTAGGTGGTCCAGGCACCACCTCAGATGTGCCCTCGGCCCCTCTGCCCCAGATCCCATGGCCCAGAGGCCTGGCTAGTTGCCATCTGGGACTCTCCCCACTGCTGTCCACAGCCTCCTCCCCCAACAGCCTTCCCAGTCTTGCTCTTGGATGTCCGCACTTCCCCCAGCACGTTGGCCGGGGCCACCCTCACCCGTGAAGAAGATGTAGTCGAACTTGTGTTCCAGCAGCTGCTGTGTCTCCTCGGGCCCGCCCAGCACCACAGCAAAGTAGCTCTGCAAAGCAGTGGGTGGCTCAGGGGACACTGCCAGCCCTGAGGAGAGCTGAGCCACCCTAGCTGGCAGGGGCGAGATGCTGATGGGGCAGGGCACTCTCACCTGGTCCAGGTACTGGGGCAGCACCTCAGCCAGGACCTTCTCTGTGCCCTGGCTTATTTCTGATGGCTTTAGCACCACACAGTTTCCTGCAGAGGCAGATGGGGGAGACATAGGGGGAGACCAGTGCCCCCACACCCTCCCAGGGGCTGGCCTTGGAAATCAGAGACACAGAGGGCATGGGAAGCTGGAGGCACCCCATAATAGAATGTTAAGGGCCCCTTTTGGGAAGGGCCATTAAGCTGGGGGGGGGGCATGGGGCTCTGGACCGTCTCTTCACCTGCAGCGAGGGCGCCCACCAGGGGCATCAAGGTCACGTACACGGGGTAGTTCCAGGAGGCGATGATGAGCACCAGGCCTAAGGGCTCCTTCCGGATGAAGGCGGAGTCCAGCTGTGTGACCTGGGGTGCAGGATGGACAGTGAGTCCCCACCAAGGCCCACCCCAAAGCTCCCCTGGGTCAGGGACGGCGAAAGGGTCTGGGCTGGAGCTGCCCCTGAGCACTGCTCCCCACCCGGCCAGCAGCTCACCAAGTTCTTGGCCACTGGCTCGTCCTTCATCCAGGTGTGTAGATTCTTGAGGGCTAGATTGATCTCGTTCTGACACAGGATGATCTCGGACAAGTCTGACTCCAAGGCTGACTGTGGAGGGGGTGGGATCTGAGCGAGGGTCAGGCCCGGGGGAGGATGGCGTGGGGATCTAGTGTGTGGAGTCCCCAGTCCCCAGCAGGGATACCAGGGACAGCACAGCCAGTCCCCTAGGAACTGCAGAGTGAGTGGTAAGGAGCACAGGCCCTGGGCCAAGCGGCCTGGGCTCTAGTTCCAGCTCTGCCACACCTTGGCTGTGGTACCTGGGGCAAGTGATACAACCCCCCACATGCCTCCGTGTCCCCATCAGTAACATAGGGACAATTGAAACTGCCTTCCAGGTTTGATGAGTGAATGCTGTATGGTGCCTATATGCACTGCATGCCAGCAAAGGGTCTGTTAAATAAACAGGAATTGTGGCACTTGCTGGAGACGCCAAGGATGGACAGAAGTGCAGAGAGCAGGGAGGACAGACAGCGCAGTCCGACCCCGCATCCTCGCTGACCTCAGTCCTTTACTAGAGATAACAGGGGAACAGGTGGTAGGAAATAACAAGCACGCTCCTAAGGCTCAGGGAGAAAATGCTTAGTCTAAGGGTTGTTTTTTAGCTCAAGAGGAGCGAAACGGTTTCAAGGACTTTGGCTGAGCACACACTGTTTTCAGTGGGCAGGCATCCAGCCTCTCTCAGTTAACCCTCAGTTGACCGCCGAGCTTTTGCTCAAGGCAGCAACCTTACAATCTTGGTTTTGGGGCTTATGTGAGGGAATCTCTAACATGTCCCTACAATGAATGAACTGGAGACACAGCCAGCTACCCACTCCCCTCACCTTGCGTAGGTCCTGTGCCAGTGCCTCCTGCAGCAGCTGCTTGTGGTCCTGCAGGAAGCGGCCCAGGCCCTTGAGCTGTGCAGCCCGGAACTTGGTGGGCCGTGTCCGCCCTGAGCTGAAGGCCTCCCGCAGTTGCCGCAGTGTGTCTGAGAAGGGGTCCATCCTGCCACTGGGGGGAGGGAGGCAGCATGGGCCGGGGCTCCCCCACCTTCTCCAGCACCCCTACCCTGTCCCTGCCTGCACCCATGTGGACACACAGGCAACCCCATGGAGACTCACGTGTAACCCCAAAGGGCCAGGGCTAGCTCTGCACCCCCCCCGCAACACATGCACCCCACCCACGTTCATGGCAGGCCCCCTCCACCCAGAGCACCAGGCTACAGGCAAAATCAAGGAGCAAGATTCCTTAGATGGAGGTCAGGGCCTCCTCTGGGCCTAAACTAACCCAGGCAGTCTGAGGGTTCTTTGCCTCAGAGGCCACAGAGCTTTTGCAGTGGCAGATGGGGAAACTGAGGGCAGCATGTGTTACAGGTACTCAGAGCAGGAGGAGGGCTCAGTGTCTGCTCTGGGGAGGTGGTCCTGAAAAGAGGGTCCCAAAGCAAGGAGCAGAGGAGAGCATCTGGCGGAAGGAGGTCCGTGGAAAGGCAGAAGTGGAGGGGTAGGTGGGCAGAGCTGAGACTGCATGTCTGTCTGTGTCTCTGTGTGTCTTTGTCTCCCTGCCTCTCTGGGTCTGTGTCTATCTGGGTGTGTGTCTGTTTCTCGGTCTGTCTATGTGGACATTGTGGGCTGCGGTTATTATTCTTAGGAACAATGAGACAAAAAAAAGTAACTGGTGCTGATTTAGCGGGTCTTCTCAGCTGAGGAACGCGGAGATAGGAACAGATGCTGGGTAGTTCCTAGGAAACACCAGTAAACACACCGTTCCTGTCCCATGGCAGTGAGGCCACCATTCCCATGGCGGCAAGGGCTCCGTACGCCGCTGCCTGGAGGAGGACACAGTCCACAGCTGACGCTCCGTAAAGACTTGTCTGCTCTGTGTCCAACCCTTGTCATGGGCTGGAAGAGGACTCGGGTCATGCTCTCCCAGGGGTCAGGCCCCGAGTGGGGTGGGTCACCCCTAGAGCCCTGCCCCAGAGTACAGAGCAGTCAGTGGGAAATCTGTGTAGGCTCATTTCCTGCTGAGCGCTTCCTAGAAGCGCCCAGCCGAGGTGGAGCTGCTTTGGGCCCAACTCTGGCCCCCCGCACTGCCCACCCTCAGTCCCAGAGTTGGCCTGGAGAACCTTCAGAGCTTCAGATTCCAGGGCTGCCCCAAGGCTCTGCCCAGAATGCCAATATAACCCGTCCTTACCCAGTCTTTTCGGCCTGGAGTTCAAGCAGTTCTTGGTTCCATCAACCCTGCTCTAACTTCTCCGTGGTTTGCTAGGGCCTCTCTAAGACTCAGCGCCTTGGCCCTGAATCAAGGCACAGAGTGTTCCCTGCATTTCTCAACTGTCATTGTCTGTGTGCCCACTGTGTACCCTTGAAGCACCTTGGGACAGCCTCAGGCTTAGCTTGTTCATGGCAGAATCACCAGGTCCAGCCCCACCGTTGCCCAATAAAATGAGGAAGCAGACCTCTGGGTGTGGCCTGAGGTCAGCAGTGTCCCCAGAGGGGCTGGAGTTGGACAGCTGGCTCCTGTTTCTCATCCAACGTGCTTCCTTGCCTTGCCTGCCTCCTGCAGGTAGACCCAGGGCTCGCTGAGGTGGGGCTGACTAGGGAATCCTGTCTGCTACCAGGCAGGCCCAGGCTGGACCTGCATCCTAGACTTGGCAGCCCTCACGGAGCTCACAGTCTAGACATAAAGCAATAACAAGACAGACAACAGCATTACGAGCACGGATAGTTGTGCCACAGAGTCTGTGAGACGCCAGCTAGAGACCCTACCACGGACTTTGACTGCAGTGGGGAAGGGGCAGGTGTTCTGGACAGAGGGCCCAGCACGTGCAAAGGCCCCGTGAGAGTGGATCTTGAGAAAAAAGACGGAGCTGGGCAGACCGACGGCCTGACAAGGCCTGCACTAGGGAGTTGGGATTTATCCCTTGGGGAGAGGACACACCACAGTACCCAGGAGGGGAGGCTGAGCTGACACCTGGAGCTCAGTGTATAGCATGCATCATCTCATCTGGCCCTCGCAGTTTTATCACCCCATTGTAAGGATGAGGAAACGGAGGCTCTGAGCGGTGACTTGATTTTCCCTCTGCACAGCTGCTGTAAGGTGGGTTCAGTGTGGCCCCACAGCCCCTCCCCCACAGCACCGCCACCCTGCGTCAATGTGTGCCTGCACTTTTTATCCGCTTCTCAGCATCTTTCTGCAGCTTCCAGATTTTCTACAATGAGAATGCAATACTTCCAGAACCAGAAATAAAGAGTGAGTGTTGCTTTTACAATCTGAAGCCAGACTCAGTTCTGACTTCCCCTCCCAAGAAGTTCCCCGTCCCCTCGCCTGACTCCCTAGCACAGCCCTGGTGACACCTGCCTGGTTCCAGTTGGTCTCTGACACCTCCCCCAGCCTGGGAGCCCCTTAGCCCTTTGAGGGAGAATGGGGTCTGTCCTCACCCCTGGGGCCAGGCCACCATAGGGCCAGGATGAAGGTTCCTCCATGGGTGCTGCCAGCGTCATCAGGGAGAAGGTGAGACCCAGGCAGGAGAAGTGACCTGAGGACAGGGCATAACCAGGGCAGGAAAGCTCCCTGTAGGAGTCCTGTGGCCCCACATCCCATTCCCCTTGTGCTGCTGCCCCCCAGTGCCCTTTACCCTGTGGCCCCACTGCCCCAGCCTTTGCCCCACGGCCCCCCATACCCCAGTGTGGACAGCGACCTCGAATCCTTCATCACGCCTTTGACCTCTTTACCCGACATTCTGCCTCAGATGCGCCCACTCTGCTTCTACCCAGGTCTCACCCCTGCCTCTGCCACCTGACAATCCTCCCAGGAGACACTGGCCACCAAAAGACTTTTTGTGCTGACACTTAGCAATGGAGTGGTACCCAGGGTAGCCTAACAGAACCACAGGTGCAGTTCACACACCTACACTTCTCCTGACTTCGCTGCATCTGTCCTGGCTCAGCTGGGCCTGGAACAGGTCTGGCAACTCCAAGCTGGCAGGGAATTACCTAATTACCTGATAAGCAGAAAATTCCAGTGTAGGTGTGAGTGTGTGGGAGGGAATTACAGAATGAAAATATCACTGGGACTCTGGCAGCAAACGCTGCCTCCTCCAGGAAGCCCTTAGCCAGCTGAGTTCTACAGCCCACCAAGTCCTCATGTCCACCACCCCCCAACCTCACACCACAGAGCTCTTTCATTTTCATTCTCCTAATGCGCCCAGCTGGCATCCTCAGGGCAGAGGAAGGAGTCACAGCTGCGGCAGAGAGAGCCTGAACCAGCCAGGGCACCTGTGGCTGCAGTGTGGTGCAGCATTCTTTTATTCTCCTATTTCCTGTGTGACCCTGGGCAAGTTACTCAACCTCTCAGAGTTTCTCTGAGGTAACAATAGTGCTTAATTGTCATGGTTCTTGAGAGGCTCACATGGGAAGATAAAAAGAATAGACCAGAAGCAGCACAGCTCCTGGCACAAAATCAGTGCTCCTAAACGTGGGCCACTGATATTTCTGCAAGTATTTCTAAAGCACCTACTAGGTTCTGGGAAGCAGAACAGTGTTTCCAGGCAGAGCGTGTGAGAACCTGTGCGCGCTCGTCTGAGGTCATCCTTGGCTGTGCTTGGAGCCAGCCCAGAGAGAGCCGCAGCTCCCACAGCCACAAACCCGGAGACTTTGTCTTCGATAGCTTCTGATGTCAGTGTCAACATGACACCAGGAAGGGAAGTCGGGGCAGGGGGTGGGGTACGGCCATTGAGGAGGCCCGGCAGGCACCCCCAACAGCTAGATTATGGGTCAACTGTATCTCAATAAAGCTGTTAAAACAAAACAAAACTGAACCCACAAGAATCCTGAAGAGGAAGCCCATAAGCAAATGAAAATATGCTCAACCTGTTACAATCGGTAAAATGTAAAATGAAGCAATTGTAAGGTGCCTTTTCATACCCATTATGTTAGTTTCCTGGGGCTGTTGTAACAGATGACTGTAAGGGTGAAATTTGGGAATCAATAGCGCAGTTAGACTGAGCTAGTTTGCAGTTTAACTCACCACGTAGCTCACTATCTAGCCACCTGTGATTAAACCTATTGTAGTTTGTTTGTGGTTTGATCCATCCTGATATTCAACTGTTTTCTCTTTGTTTCTCCCCTCACTGATTAACTGAAGAACTCTGTTTGTTCCCTTTCTCAAGGTTACCCATACTTCATTAATTAACAACATCCTAACGAGAAAAAGAACAATTTCTTGATCCTCAGGTGCCTGGACACTGGAATCCAACTTACAACTCCCTTGCAGTATTTGCTGGTAACACATTCAAGTCCCAGGTCTCAATGGCTGAATCCGAGTCCGGAGTCCAGAGATAACATCGTCTTCAAACCGACCAGAAACCCAGAAAGGCTGTCAGCCCTCAAACCTGCCTGACCTATTCCCCTTTTCTACATAAGAAAAAGCTAACCTGAAGTTAGGTGCAGCTGCCTATCAGGCTCTGTCCTGGCTAAGGCGTCTGCCAGTATTTCTCTCGTACCCATCTCAGCAGCTGTCCACTTTCAGACTCTGGACTCAACCCTGGCGGCCTACCCACTCCAGCTGATGTTTCCCGCCTTACTTAGACAACCCGTGGCAGCTGTCGTCCTTGGACACTGCCATGGGCATTTTCTCTCTTCCTAACTTTAACAAAACCTTTTTTTCTCACTCTCCCACTTTGTAGAGTCTGTGAATGTTTTCACCTTTTGCGGACGACCAGGGGTTAATTCCACACCACAACAATGGCCACAGACTTGGGGGCTGAAGACAACAGAAATGTATTGTCTCTCGCTGTGGAGGCCAGAAGTTCAAAATCAAAGTGCTGCAGGGCCATGCTCTTTCCCGAGGCTCTAGGGCACGTTGACCTTGAAAATAAAAGTCAGTTATTTTACCAGTAAAGATGGGTTTATTTGGGAACAGCAAAGAATTGCAATTTGGGACAAGCCAGCTATAGCAAAAGCCGTAGCCAAGTCCAACAAACAAAGGAGAGAAACATTATTTTTTACGGAAAAAATAACTTAATACAGCCTGAAGATAGTTACTGGTATTGAGACCATGTGGAAAGATGTGACTGAATCTGAGTAATGCACCTATACAAACATTTAAGATTTGGAGATGGGGGCAGACATCTCCTTGTCCGGACACCGCCCAAGACAAGCCTGGCAAGTAGGCTTCTTGGTCATTAAAACTGCCACCTACCCATCTGGAGTGGCCTGACTCTTTCTTCAGCCATTCCCTGCCCTCCTCCTAAGGGGTGGTTTTAGATCACACCCAGGAAGCTCCCAAGGAGATTTCAAACTGTGGGGTCCGAGGGTGTCAATCAAGGACCGTCTAGGTGGTGAGACACCCAGCAGAAAGGAAGCACAAGGCAGACTGTGTGCCATAAACGCAGGAACAACCCTTTAATCATCTGGCCGGGGCTAGAGAAAGCCATCCGAAATGGAAGCAGGGGTTTTATACTCTCATACAAACAACAGCTGCATGGTGCCAGCACACATGCGCAGGAAAGGAACTTACATCAACAAGTAACTGACCTGAAACGTACATCAACAAGTTGTTTTTCTTTCCCCTGTCCCACCCAAGGGGAAGGGGCAGACCGGTCTCAAAAGCCTGTAAACATTTCCTAACTGAGATCCCTAACAGCTGCGCTCCACACAAACCAACACCTGCCATCACTGAAAATGACTTAGGATTACTTTGCATGTTTTTAAATGTCTGACAATGAGTGTTGGATTCTGCTTATCTTTCTGCAACTGTTTCCCGAGAACAAGCGATCTTGGTAAATGTCACAGGAAGGACTTCCAGGACGTACCAAATAAGCAACACAAACCAAGCCAAGCAAGCAGTGGGTTTATTAAAAGAAAGGAAATAGGGGGGCCGCCGGCTAGCTCAGGTGGTTAGAGCACAGTGCTCATAACACCAAGGTTGCCGGTTCGATCCCCGCAAAGGCCACTGAGCTGCGCCCTCCACAACTATAGATTGAAACAACTACTTGACTTGGAGCTGATGGGTCCTGGAAAAACACACTGTTGCCCTATTAAAAAAAAAAAAAGGAAATAGTACAGTATACTCTCAAGATGGAGTGAGAGTGGGCAGGGCCAGGAGAAGGGCAACTGCATCGAATAACAAAGAGGCTTAGGATTTTATTCAAATAAGGGTGTGAAATATTCAAGATTTAAGGGTTGCATGGCAGGCGTAGGTGTTCTCAGGGAGGGTCCCTGCTGTCCTCGCTGACCACTCATTCTGTGGGGAGGTGGTGTGGCAATGGGCCCTAGACAAAGACCTTCCCAGACCATGTGGTCACCAAGGATTTTGCATAGGCTTCGGACAAAGACATTCC